TTTTATAAAGCAGTCCATAGACAATAGAACGCAAGGGTTACTATAATAATTATTTTTATTTTTTATATTGAGCTTAAACCCGGCAACTATGGCCATAAGCTGTTATAGGTGATTATTCACTGTGGTTGGTAAGGTTGGTATGATAAGGTGTTGTTGCGGTTGTTACGATAGGTATGCATAAACGTGCATGTGTAGGAAAATTTTTATTACTACGGATTTGGGTGATCACCCATCCGGGAACTTAGTAGCAGTGAACGTAACTTGTTCTCAATCGTACTGTACGGTAGCAGCCAAGCCACACTTTTATTATTATTATCGATAGTTCCAACAATGCTGTAGGTGCTTAAATAGCTATAACATAAATATTACAGTTCAGACAACTTTACCTATAAATTAAAATTCTTATAAGTTATATGATATATTTTAATATTTACACACACTATTATCAATACGTTCTAAATATTTATTAAACCAAAAAAAAGCAAAGAGTAATTTAGTAATAATTACTACACAAAAGTAACTTAAATTACATATAAATTACTTAGAATAAAATGTAATAAAATTACCATCAAATTACTTAAAAAGTAACTTCGTTACAGTAACTTGCAACTTAAGTTAAGTTATTCCCCAACACTGCTACCTGTATGGTGTATACAATTATTACTTTAGTGTACCTACTACTACGATCTGTAGTTTATTGTTCGATTATGATAAAATATAATATTGCTTAGGCTGTTGAATGAGAACAATTTTAAGGGGTCGGACTTAGGCAACATATTCTATATCCATCATGAGTGATGTGTTACTGATCATTAGTGTAGGTGAGTGCCCTGAATGCTTTGTGTAATTTAAGATAATATACAGCTAAGATTCTTACATACGTACACATACGCGCTGTCCAATACGGACATTATATTTTGAGATCAAAAAAGTTTCACCATGAAAGCCCCAAAAATCAGAAGAAAAATTCCCCAGTACCAAAAAACCGATTTTAATTTTGAAAACATACTTGAATTTTTTATTCTTTTTTCTAGGTTACGCAGGATATGGATTTTGTATTTTTTTGTATTATTTAATTAGTATAGTACTTATAAAATTAGTTGTATTTTTAATTTGCTTTTACTTTAGTGTTACTAAAAATGAAAATTCGAAAATCTATTTCATATAATATAACCTAGAGTCCTAGAATACTGAATAAGAAATTCAAATATTTTTCAAAATTAAAATTGAACTTCTGGAAGTATATTATATATTTTTTCGGTCTAAATGCACGAAAAACGACCTGCTTTCAACATCCTTAAACTTTCACCATTGATTTTATCGTTATTATAATATCATTGACTTGACGGTGTAGACGGTGTAGTGACCACTAGGTAGACTGTATAGTGTTGTACATGTTGTATTTGGTTCATGTATTTATGTACATTATCAGGTAGGCAATCTACCTGCTGTAGATCGCGGACCCCGTGCTGTTTGTACGTAAGTGTATGATTTAACTCTAAAGTATCAAAGTTATAATAAGTTGATTTTGATATAATACGGTGGATTAATGTATTCAATTAATACATAATCCTAACCTAACCTAACCATACTAAAATCCGATGAATAAAAAAAAACCAAATTTAACCTTTTTTAAATTAGCCCGTCTTCTTCCCAGAGGTCTAATCTACACACAAACATTAATTTTTATATATATATATATATATTGACAAAAAATAATAATACAAATCAACAAACACGCCTGATTAAACAATAGCAACCAAATAAATTATACCCTATTATTATTTTAATCTGGAACAATAAACTACATTTTTATTTTATTAATCAGCTTATTTTTTTCTGGACAGATGACGCCACTATTGTATTATGTTACATCCATATTTTCTAATTTTTAGGTAGATTTTTCTATAATTTTAGATTCTGAGCGGAGCGATGAATGTATTGGTTTTACAATAATGTGTGTTTTTATAATTGCATTTTATATACACGATAACGTTTTCAAAATATTTTGATTTATTTTGAACTGTTTAGGGACATTTTCATTTTCCATCTTTTTTTAGTTTTTTTTCTAAAAATATCAATTAAGTTTTATCTGTTGGGCCAAAAAGTGTAAAAATTTAATACAAGGCTCCTGATATATTGTTACAATAGCAGTTGAAAAATATTAAAAATACATATGCACAGTTTTTTTTATAAGCATTTAAAGTTCAAAAATTGTAAAAATATGGAAAAATCACGAAAATTAGCGAATTATTTTGAGTTAAGAATTCGTAAAAATTTTTCTTTTTAAATCTAAGATTTGAAAATGAAACACAAGATTCCTTATAAGATTATCTACCTTTATCAATAAAAAAATCTCTACCGGACAGTCAAATTAAATTTTTATGAGCGTTTGAAATTCAAATTTTTACAACATTGGATTTTCACTCGATTTCTCATGTAGCGATTTCCTTATTTTGTTGCAATTCAAAAACGAACAACTGTAGATAAATGAAAATTTCACTGAATGTTTAAATTAGCATTTTCTATACACCATACAATTTTGAAAATATTTTGACTCTTTTTGAGCTGTTTATGGACATTTACAGCTTTCAATTTTTTTAGTTTTTTTTTCTATAAATATCAATAAAGTTTTATCTGTTGGGCCAAAAAGTGTAAAAATTTAATACAAGGCTCCTGATATATTGTTACAATATCAGTTGTAAAATATTAAAAATACATAGGCACGATATTTTTTTATAAGCATATCAAGTTGGAATTTTGACAAAATTTATCAAAATCTCGAAAATTATCAATCGTTGGAATTAAAAAATTATAAAATGTTCAGTTTTTATAACTAAGAGTTGAAAATTTAAAACAAAGATTCTCTTAAATAATTCATAATGTAACCAAAAAATCTAAAAAATATATAAACACACTTATTTTTTACAGACATTTTAATTTCAAATCTAGACAACATTTCATATTTAAACCAAGAATTACGATTTTAGTTATTTTGTTGTGATTGAATAGTATTATTCGTGGGTACTTGAAACTTCTAAAGTGTACTATTATATATCTATGATAGTATCACGGTTTTTGTTGATGTATAACGCGTTACCAGTACCTAATGGATATTGTGATATGATTAATTTGGAATTTATTATAGGTACCTATTATAGGTCAATTTTTTGTTTAATACCTTAGATATGTATATAATATGTCTTATACCTACATAGACTGACATACCGTCTCCGCTCAGAATCGTTTTTCTTATACAATGATATTATATCGTTGAATTCAAATTTAATATCATCCATTATACAGTGACCCACTTGTAACCTACTGTACAGCAGAGCGACACCCACTTGCCCACCTTTTTTGTCATGCAAACCTTTTCCGGGAAATACTCTTTTGTTTAAAAAAAAATCAAGAAGATCTAATAATAGTTCCAGAGTTTACCCTGTTAGAGAGATTTTCATTTCACATTTATATAGTTAGATAGTTATAACTTATAATATTTTAGATTACAAGCCTAGCGAATAGCAACTAATGTACTGTTTTTACAATGATGTTTTTTCCGTCATCTGTAATTTTTTTTAAATATTTCGACTCTTTTTGTGTCTTTTCTAATTTTGTTTTTTTTTTTTATTATTGTCATTAAAACATTTTCATTCTGTAAAAAAGATTGAACATTAATTGCAAGGAATTTCGTTTTTTTGATAGCAGTTTAAAAATATTAATGATATTACTATTTTTATATGCCTAAAGTTAAAATTTTGACTAAATAAATTATTTTTTCAGTTAGAAATTAAAAAAAAATGTCAATTTTAATAGAAGATTCTAGACAAGTTTTTCTACCTTGAACCAAAAAAAAGTTTACTCTAAAATTACGCTATTTATTAAATATCATTAATCATTGAATTCAAATCTAACACACCCATTACAATGACATACTCGACTGTACTCGTAGTAATAGAGCAACTATAAATATATTTGTGCATTTAATATAATAATAACTAATAAAATCACTAATAGTTGAAACAGAACCTACACACTTACACAGTTACAAACCACCTCGTAGAGATTAAGAAATCAAAATCTGATGATATATAGTTATCACATTCTTTTATTCATATAGTATAATAATATAATATAATATAAAACATCTTTAAATATATTATAATATACATTATCTATATAGTGGGGTAGTGGAGTCGATCCCGGCTAATGAGGCCTATTCAGGTTATTAGCAACGGGTGATGGTCCTGAGAGCATATTCTATTTTATATAGGAGTTGATATTTTGAGATACAATATTTTAGTCGTAATCACTGTGACAATCTATACAAGTGGTAGCGATGGAATACGTTGGCAAAGGAATTAAGGCCTAAACAGGTACGTCGGGTTGTCAAACTAATGAGTGCTCTGAAAAGAGCGTTTTTCTATTAGGTATACAAATTTAATCGACTAGAGGGTGTTCACTGGGAAAATCACGTATGTTAGGTGGTCGATGGTTCAGTCGCTGGTGGAAAAGCTTAACGCCTGGATAATTTCAATAAGTATGTAATCACGAAAATACATTGGCTCGGGTACTGGGGGCGAGAATTATGATCTAGAGCTTGTCGATCAGTTGGCAAGTTTTAGCACCCGATTACCGTCGGTGGGTATGTAACCGCGAATGCTTTGCATGCTGTTTCAGTGACGTGTGGGTGGAATCTTATATCTGCCCTCTAGGCGAATTCCGAGGATTTGACTGATGATTTCCAGTTTATTGCTTGGTTGTTGATTCGCAATGGTGTAGTATATTATTTGAAACCTCTTCTCCCGAAGTTTATTTATTGACAGAGTTTTGTCAGCTCTCAGGGTCAGCTTCCAGTTTATAAGCTAAGGGAGTATGTTTTTGATTTTTGTCTGGAGTTTATCCACATGCCCATGCTGGTTTCAATGCACATATATATATGCATGTATGTCAGAACGTTTTTTTGTCGAAACAATGCCAGAACCTTGACGATTAAGTTTATGAGTTATATAGGTCTGTTTCTGATTGGATTCTTGTGGTCTTTGCCTGGGTTTAGTATCACCACGGCTGTGGCTATTTTCAATAATGTAAGAAAGTGTTGGAATCTTAGACAGCCGCTGAAAATTTTAGTCAGCCCCAGAATGGTCTTGTCAAAGACCGTGTTGGAAATACCGTCAGGTCTCGGTGATTTATTGCGGGGTAGCCGCTTGATGATGCACTTTACTGACTGGTTGTATTGGCAGCTAATAAATTGGTGTATGGAGTTGGCTTGGACCCTAACCTTCCTGGCAGTTGAATTGTGGGGCTAAGTGAAGAGTTTTGTTTCCTTGGAAAGTTGAAGACTGTCCTAGTTGGCCGTTCAGTGGGTGGTCAGGGGTTTCCTGTTTATTAAGGATTAGTGCCTCCGGGTTTTAGGCAAGAAAGGGATCCCCTGTGAAATCAAATAACCTTCTTGGCTAAAGATGTCTGATTGTTGAAAGCTTAGATTTTGGATTCCGTGTTCTCTGCCATGCCCTCCGTAGTCTACGCTTTTTGGTCAGTTCCCGTTGAATGCTGTTTGGTAGATGTATCTGGTTGTTGAGACTCATTGTGTTTTCGGACATGATATCATAGATGTACCATGATATCTTGGGCCAAAAAGGTAAAGTTGTTGTTTTCTTGATCGGCTGTTGAGTTGATGTCTAGGTTTGGACTTGGCGCAATGCAAATTGACTGCAAGTTTTGACCAGTCTGTGATAGTTTTTTGTAGCATAGGTGGACTTGACGAGGGCTTGCCGTGAAGCGATACAACAATTTAGCTATAGTCTGATTAAAGTCCATCGGTTAAGTTGCAGAGTTTATACTGAAGTCCAAGGTTTTTCAGAATTGATTGTGATATTTCGGATGTTAGGTTGGTGGTTTTGTTGGTCAGGATGAGTCAAGGTGTCAGGTGCTGAGGTGCAATACTATGGTAGTTTTTCTCCTCCATGTGGCTTTGAAGTGCTAGGCCAGCAGTATTTGTTCTTTGACTATTCTATAATGAGTGTTTTTTTATTTATGTCACCTGCAAGGGTTTTTGGGAGGTCGGTACCTGTCATTTTGAGGTATTTTGTAAATTTCCGAGAGTTGATTGTTTAAATGCATGTGTATGATGGTGTTTTCAAATTAGTTGGTCTAGATGGGCACTTCGTAGTGGACGTGTTTGTTGGCCACTACGATGGCCGTGTCTCCAGCCAAGTGGAGTTGTTCAGTTATTTCAGTAGATGTGAAGGTTTGAATGTTGTTGTTGATTTAGAATAGGTGTTTCTGTGTAATTTGATTTGGCTTTTGTGTTGCCATATGAATTGGAGGACTTATAATTTTGTATTGCCTAGTCCTTGGCAATTCCAGTTGGGGAGTTTTAGTTGTTCGTCAGCCTTGGTTGATTGGTGAAACTATGGCCGATATTGCTGGAAGGATGGTGTCTTTTAAATTTAATGTGGTAGGTATCTGGTATATGGCGTGTTGTAGGGTTTTTATTAGTTTTGTGTTCTTTTGTTTCTTTTGTTTAGTGGTTGTACTGGAGTTTGACGAGAATTTGACTAAGAGGAAGTTTGAGCGTAGGTAAAACAGACGGAGTGAGTGGTGGATACAGGTACTTTATGATAATTGATCGGCTTAAGATCTTGAGGATTCAATTTATTCACTGTGGTAGGAAAAGCACTGATGATAATTGATTGTGTGCTCTCCGTTGCAGTCCTGGTTGCATTATCATTGCCGCTTTGACACATTTTGGCTGGTGCATGTAATGTGCTGACGAGTGTCTGAAGCCTTGACATGTGAAGCAATGGGATCGTTTACCGTCAGGATGTTTTATAATCCTCTACGTGGATAATTAAATAGAATAGACTAGGAAGGTCAAACATAACCTCGCTTATCTGGGTGTTCGGGAGCTAATCTACTAAGAACTGCATATTATATTGCTGTATGACGTATGTGTTTGGTGGTCATAATCACTCGTTACAATGTATTTTTAAATGCTGTGGTTTTGATGGGGTTTGGTGTGGAGGGGAGTGTGTATGTGATGGAGAGTGTGCACGTGATGACGACGTTTGCTCCGTTAGGATGTATGATTTCTTTTAACAACAATATTTTAGAACTAAATAAATAATATTTATAAATTAATGTCATACAATGTATATTATACCAAAAATTATATATACTTATACTTACACATAATATAATAATAAGTACATATTAATATACTAATTGTTTACAACATTTGCAATACTTAAATCCATTAGATACAATATTATTTATCAATTATCATTATTATTTAGTCTTTAGGTCACAATGACTTCCAGTGGCATTATACATACAAGCTAGACAATATTGAACTTACAGATGTATAACATTACGCCATGGGTAAAATGTATACCTAATACGCATATACTTGACAATTTAAACTAAGATAACGTGTTATTATTTTATCATCAAAGGGGTTTAAAACTAGTTCAAATATTCAATTGAAAATTAAATTATGTATTTGGCTATATTTATTATAATTTTTAAAGAGACCAATGTTTAAACAAATTAGTAAAGAGTAATCATAAAGCATCATAAGTGCAAATTATGATTGCAACAACGTTCGTATGTTGGCACTACTTTTGTCTACCTTGACAACAATTATATAAGAGTTAATTGCCTATGATTGAATGGACTGGAAACAAAAGCCTAATCACCGGAATTTACCAGTTGCGTCCGTAAAACCCTTATTTAGTCAAGTTAGGTCCCGGTATTTTTCAAGAAGTTCTCTATTTGGGTCCCACAATTTTTCAAGTACTACTCTAGTTGGGTCCATGGAAAAAAATATTTTCCTTCTCATTTCTACAGACTTAGGACTTAAAATTTTCGTCTCGATTCGTTGTTAGTTTTAAATTATTTAGTACATATCATATTATTTTTTTGGAATGTTTGGCTGTATAGATTTTCTAGCATTATGAATATTTTTTCGAATTAGAATACAATCATTTTGTATTAAATGTAAACATCATTTTTTAATTCATAGTTATTTTACTTATATTTTAGAAAGCCTTATTAATAATATATTCTAATCCTTTTATTTTGACACTTTTACTAATAGCTTGTATATGTAGTATACTTTCCTCATTAGGTGCGTGATTGTGTAATAATGGTTCATCAATTAATATACTATTTTCGCATTAAAAAAAACCCTTACAAGGTCTTTGTACTCAGTGCCATCGTTCAACATCGTTTGATAGTCTTGTGAAATGAAAATTTAAATCCGTCGGGCGTAACGTACACTCGTTTTTCTTTTTCACTAAACATTACATTAAATTGTTCCATGTAAAACAGAAAGTAGGTACACTTCATCTATTTTATACAATGAATATGGGTAGTACTAGATTTGCACTTGCATCAATTTCCCCCCTCACCAGACTACTAACAACCTTAAGTGGCCCGGCTCCCCGTCTCCTGCCCGCCTGTTCGTTTCCAGTCCATTCTATCAGGAGTACGCACTCCCCCAAGTCCCAATTATATTAAAAAAATGGGGAAGTGGCTACAAGTTCACGGGCACTGCCATTTTGATATTAATAAATACTATTGACTATTAATATTCAATAGATACACTTTAAATCATATTATCATATAAAAAATTCAATTATATAGATAGGTACTCACCGAATGCTGACCGTAGCCTTTTACGATTTTCGATGTTGCAGACTGTGTTATGTTATGATGTTAGGATAAATAGCCAAATATCCCATTCCAATAAAATTTATTCGTACAATGCAAAAGTTGTGTCAGGGAGCAGAACCTGTTGAGGCGAAATGTTTTTTTTCGCTAGTGCCATCTTAAGTGAGGTAAGTGTTTTATATACTGGTAATTTGATAATATTTTGACTATTATATCACAGAATACAGGATAAAGTGATTCCTTCTTTGCCAACTAGCACTATAGTATCTCTAGATTTCAATATTCCTAGAGACTTTCCAAATTCTATAGCATAATCCCGATGTTTGTTCCAGTTATTTGAAAAATCTACATTGCATTCACCGATTTCTGAAAATAATATAATTCATACAATTGTAAATCAGAATTTGCCTTTCTATTATTTAATCAAAGAAAGATTGTTTTTTAAATGTATGACAAAAGTCAAAACGGTTTTTTTTCCTTAAAATAATAATATTAAATAATTGTTGAATGTAAACAACACACTCTGTATTATGTAGATTATAAGCAAATTATTCACACTGTAGTACAGCAGACGCTGAATAGGCATTTTATATTTCTAAAGCATATTCGTTCTATGTGGTAGCCTGTAGGACGATTAGTCGTTGTTTTATATTACAGCTCGGAGCACTATAGTTATTCATATCAATTATACATATTATTATATTATTACATATATCCGAATCTTATTTTATTTGCCTTTAGCTTCTGTATATCTGTGTACTTCAACAGGTTATGGGCCCAGTAGTAAGGTATTTATAATATAGTCGTGTATGTTTAATAAATTAATTATTGATTTACGAATCGCGTGTTTGTGCAGACGGTATACAGCAATAATAATTCGTGAAATATAGTGCAGTATAGTGTAAGTGCATTGATCGTGTGAAGCTCAGAAACTATGTTTGTTATTATTAGATTTATAGTGTACAGATAATTTATTATTATGGAAAACGAATCTATAAAAATTAACAAACTAACAGCAACGAAAACTTTCAACAATACAAGTTTCAAATGAAAGTCATTATGAATGTAGTAGACATATTTGACGTGGTGACTGGAACAACAAAGAAACCTGTACTAACAAACTTTAGTAATGAAACTGAAGAAGAAGCTAGAAAAAGGTGTAGTGTCGATTTTTCGGTATGGAAAAGAACTGACAATAAATTCAATCGGAACTCATTTGCGCACACGGTTATCCTAAATGTACAACTGGTTTGCGCACACGAAAATAAGGCTATATGACATAAGCGCCAAAGGTGCAAAAATCCAAGACTGGGCATTAACAAGTTAAAAAGTTAAAGTTGTTAATAAGTTAATTTTATATTAACTTTTTAACTTAACTAGTTACTTTTGGCTTTTCATTAACTTAACTGTTAACTGTTAAAAATGACATATCATTTGCGCCAAAATAAATATTTTATATAAGTAGTTTTTCTAAATTGATATATCTTATAAAAATGATATTATATATGTATACTATATTATACTAATATTATTTTATATAAATAGTTATTTGAAAATTGCTGTCTTAAAAGAATATTTTTATATAGAATATTAGAATATAGAATAGTTTCTATATTTTTGCTCTTTAAACAAAATACACACAACACCTTTATTCGTAACAGTTTTTGTAAAATCCATTTTAACGAATGCTTACGAAATAGGTACTATAACAATATGTTACAACACAAAACTGCACACACACCACTGTCTATGTGACAATCTATCGTAATCAGATTATACATTTGTCGATTAAGATTAAACGTTTGGAGTATGAACTTGTAGTATGAGTTTATGTACGATACGATTTATTCCTTATTAAGAGGGTATTAAAAGGTCAGGCCAAAAGGTAACTGTGCGCAAACCATGTGCATGTTTAAGGCTCAATTGTTCCCAAACGAGTGGTAGTTTTGTGCCCAAAAAAGTTGTCTTTTTGGTATTTGTGCGTAAACCAGTACCGCCCATATATATATACATTATACCTACATAACAATATTTGAATTCAAATTTAAATTACTCATTGTGGTAAATGTATTAATGTCGGACAATGCTATATAACGCAATCAATAAAATAATATAAATCGTGCTTAATTGAAAATATCGTACTCGGGCAGTAAAATACTGGTAAAATTCCACGGTGTAAGTGACATTGCCGAGCCACAATGGGATTATCCGTTACGACGAGAATGATGCTTCGTGGTCTGTACATTGCAATTTCATGTGCTATACAACCGGACTGGTCAATTACAATAATAACGTCTGCGCTCATATTGTCAGCCTTAGTTACGGCTCTCAAGGCTTGCATAGTATTTTGATCGTCGTTAGAAGTTCTTTCGGCCTATACAATTGCAGCAGGTAAGATTTGAAATTAACATACTGATAATGAAAAACGATAAACGCACAATTTGAAGTAATAACATCACCTACGTCAATTCCATGTATATTGTACGTAAAAGTCTAGAACTCTAGTTATAGAGTGTCTTACAACTTTCGAATATTAAAAATCCTTTGAAGTTAATAAAAAAAAGCGGGTAAGTGGATATCGCTCTGCTGTACCTCTTTAAAGTACCAACTAGATCCAATTTTCTAAATGATAAAGTACTGTATATTGAAATCGAAGCACTCCTTCTGGTAGAAATGTTGTATACAGAATATAAAAAAATAAATAAACACCATTGTAAAACCACTAGAAATAATAAAATTGTAAAACCCTCACTCCGCTCAGAATCTAAAATGTACTTGTTTATTATGGTGATTATTTTGGTATTAATTTAGAAAAACTATTTTATTATAACTTAAGACCACCCCCTCCACCCTTCGTTGTGTTGGTCAATATATTTCTATGTAGGACTAAGTCTAAGTACTCAATAATATCTACACATCGAATAACAAAATACTTTATATGAATTAACTGTAAAATAAGTGCGTTTTTTTTTGTATTAGCACCTATAACAAATCACCTTTATATAAAAATACTTACTAGACTTGCAACAATATCATGATAAAACTCCTTTCGCCACATTGCAGATTCGGCTTCCCGACATAACTTGTCCATTGTTCTAACAGATTCAATTGGAAAGTGACCTTTGGCTGTTTCCCCAGATAACATAACACAGTCTGCCCCGTCCAAAATGGCATTGGCTACGTCAGATGATTCGGCCCTCGTCGCTCGTGGTTTTTTGGTCATTGACTCCAACATTTGTGTAGCACAAATTCCTGGCTTCCCGGCCTTAAAATATATTTATAAATTTTAGTGTTAATGTATGCACTTCTGTAACTCAGTAAAATAAGTAGTTATTTCATAGATTTACAGGTACTTTCAGTTAATGTATTGAATGAATCCAAAAATACATACTTAAAATAGTTATTTTACATACTAATTACTAACTAGATATTTTATAATTTATCATGAACTGTTTAGTTAATGTACCTGTAACCTGTTTAAATATCTATTTAGGTATGTGTTTATTGTATTTATTAAACATATAGGTACATAAAATATAAATATTATTTTTGTAAATGTTTTTTCTGAAATTTACTAACAAATATTGTATGTTATCTACTCCGGTCCCGGTTATCAACCTAACGATTTATAAATAAATAAATTATATACATTAGCGAAAACCCAATTGGTATTCTATATATTAACTAGTAAACTTGTGTAATTTATCTATTAATGGTCATATTTAGGAGTTTTATAGAATTACTAGTTATTTAATAAAATAAAGTAATACCTACCGCTAACATATATATATATATATATATATATATATATATATATATATATATATATATATAATAAGTATCTAAGCAATAATTGCAAATAACAAATGAAAATGTTCTACCATAGGTATACTTACAATATTACACTGGGCCAAAATGGATTTTTGAGCTAAAAATACTTTTTCTGGAGGAATTTCGATACCCAGGTCACCTCTGGCTACCATAATACCGTCAGATACTTTGATTATAGATGGCAAGTTTTGTATACCCTGCTGGTTCTCAATTTTTGAAATTATCAATATGTGCTTATTGCGTTCACCTGAAATTAAGTATGGCATAGTTAAATACACCGTTAACTGGTATCTATGCCCTAACTTATCTATGTACGTACCCAAAATGTTTCGTATTTCAGTTACCGCAGAGCAATTTCTGATGAACGATGCAAATATCATGTCTAAATCATTGTCCGCCGCAAATTGTATATCAGCTTTATCTTTTTCTGATATAGCTGGTAAATCTACATCCACACCTGGTAGGTTTATTCCTTTACGGCTACCCAACATGCCTTCGTTCTCAACCATACAATCAATATAGTTTTCACCTACAGTGTAAAAATTGATTTCAGTTTAATCGATCATAAGATAAACTGTGTTTGCTTACCAATTTTCGTAGCTGTCATTAAAATCAAACCGTCGTCCACGTACATTCTATCGTTTTCTTTCATGATTTTAGTTATATTTTCGTAATCAACATACACTAGTTTATTTGAACCTTTATTTTCATATTGTTTATCCGTCGTTAAACGAAGTGTATCGCCTTTGTTCAACTTGATCTCTTTTGATGCATTTTCCCCGTTCAACACACCTGTCCGAATCTCCGGACCTTTCGTGTCTAAAGCAATAGCTAATGGAAAGTTCATACATATTTTGTCGCTATAGCTTTTTACTGCTTTTCTTATGTTTTCCACAGTCTTTAAATGATAATCGTGAGTTCCATGTGAGAAATTTAACCGAGCTATGTTCATTCCAGCGTCCATTAGTCCCTCTAATATTTTTACATCTGCTGAAGCAGGTCCTATTGACATTTTTTCGTAAAGTAAAAATTTCTTTAAGCTTTAAAGTATAATTGATAACAAACCTATTGTACAAATGATACCCGAACGACGTAATGGGTGAGATTTACAATGGATGTTCAATGAACAGTTGTATTGAAGCACTGTATCCGAATTATTAGCATACAGATATTTTTTATCTGACTGTAGCTCTTTCTTAATGTTACAAATAAATATTTTATTTTATTTTTATTAGTTATAATAATTTTAATGTGCTTACTTTAGTCTGATCATTAATGAATGGTTGTTTCCAAGTAAATTTAGTCACACTTCTATGAAATGTTTTTTTCAATAGATAATTTTGAAATACAATTGGTTTAACAAGTTTTGTAATTTTATTCAAAAACATATTTATAATAAATGATTTATCTTAATAATAAATCGATGTTGATAAATTTCAACTACCTACACTAAAAAATATTAAACATAAATATTTTTTAAAATCAATTTTACAGAGTAAATAAATAGGTTTAATGTTAACGTTACTACACATCGTGTATAACTATGGTGGCTAGATTTACTATTTTTTTGAATGATTGTAATAGTTTTTATTGGATTATCCTGGAAGTGTTATATACTCATATTAGTGTAATAGTGTCGAATTATTGTGTGAAGTACATGTAATTTATTGTACTATTTATTTGATAATATCTTAGGACTTTTCTTTTACCAATATTATTTTTCATAATATTTAACTATTTTAACTATTTTCAAAATTTAACTAATCATCTATATTTTATCGTTTGAAATAAAATGGAACTAAGCACTCGTATTATTAGAACAGTAATATCACATGATATTTTTAAATTTTAAAACTGTATTTTTTGCCATTGTAATTTATTAAAAAACAAAGTTTTTATTTTTTAGAATAATTAATTACCTATAAATATGGTTTGAAAGATCCAAAGTTGACTTAACTACAAAATAAAATCTGTTTTCAAAATTATTATCGGAAGAAAACTTAAGTCAGCACGTAGGAACGCGTGAATATTTTTCTCCAAAAAAAGGTAGTGTGGAATCCCCTTAATAATGAATTTATCCGAAATCTGATTTTGGAAATTTTATAATATACATAAAGACCATATTTTCAATTTCTTGAGATTTTTTTGGAGTACTTAAGGAGTGCCCTGTGAAAATAATAGCTTCAGTTTCTCAAATGAGAATCTACGCCTTTTTTATTGGAAATGATTTAGTTAGTAATTTTTTTTGAAAATGTTGATGTATTTCGAAATTTGGACTTATAATTTTTTAGTAGTTCTTAATAAGAATTTATAATATGTAAATTCATACTTTTATTGCAATTGAATAATTTGATTTGGGCTATTGATAAATTCGTTCACATGATTTGTAATAAAATCAGTCATACTTAATAATAAATATTTCTACATACTCCTCAATAATTCCATTTTTTATTACATATTTACAAAATTTTGATAGTATACGGTTGTATTTGTCAGCTGACACGGTTCGTAATTTTGTGATAGTTACGTGTTTCCTAAAGTATGTGTACAAAATAATACCAATATTGAAATCTAATTTATGGTCGATATCAATTACTGAATTTTGTAGGATACAATAACTAGAAAGACAAAAAATGATCTTAAAACTCATAGAAGAAACTGTAAAATATATAAAAACAAGTAGAATTACTGTTGAGAGTAGCAGTGAAAAAAAATGCATAGGTAGTGTAAATAAAAAACTTGGTATAAACTACCTAAAATTAATCAGAGATTGCCGAATAAATGGGATATTATTGCATTTTGTGCTCACTCATTTGGACATTGGAAATATAGAATTTAATAATATCATATTTACATCTGTTGAAGCCGAGCTTTATTTTAGTCAGTATAAATCTGTGTGAAGACCAAACCTTAGAGTATTTAACTTTGACAATTTGAGAATGTATATTGTGTATGGTATCCCATTGCAATAAAGATCCGAATTAAAAATATCAAACTTTATATAAATTATAAATTGTACTTTAACATTTTTTTTTATAAAATTCCATATTTTCATTTTTTTTTTATTACATATTATACAGTAATTTTTTATTACACACCTATACTATTATTACTAGCGTTTATTTCAAAGAATAATGGGCCCCACTGAGCATGCTATATTTTCATATAAAGCAATTTTTTATTACATGGCTATATATTTACATATTTTTTTTTTTTTAATACATACGAATTCGATCCCTAGTTATGAATACGTTTATATACCTATTAAGGATAATAGGCCTAAAAATGTTTTAAAAAAAAATTATTTAAATATATTAAATATAAGATCTATAGTTAAATATCGATAGATTAGTATTCATTATTAATATGTTCGAATCACCATACTTTCCATAATATCTTCCAAACCTATTATTATGGACCTATTATCCTATTTATCCTTAGCACACAAAGTTAAATGATTTAAAAACTACACATTCGAATTTCATTATTGATACGTTGAAATTTTCATAAAAATTAAATAATTGACTGTATATAAGGATGGTTATTGTTTGAAATATAGAAGTTTATAACTCTTAAATACTCTCCGTAAGTAGTATTAAACATTTTAAAACATTCGAAAATATGGTGTTTAAGTATATTTACTCCAAAAATCACATTTTAAATTTCTGCATTATTGAAGAACTGAAGGGGGTGAGAAAACTTGATGAATTACTCTGTACATATACATATACCAGTAGATATACCACTCAAGTTTTTTGTTAGCGGTTCAAAAAATACGTACATTTAAAATATATAACTGGCCAGGTAGAGATTAAAGATTGTAGAGTTTTAATATTTAATTTAGGTTATTTGGTTTTGGAGCGGATTTTAACCTCGTAAATTGTGTCTAGTAAGTAGTGTGTAAGCTTAGTGTCGTAAGCGAATAAAAATCGCTTCCATGTTCGAACTATTCACCTAGTGCGTAATCATCTTAAACTTTAAAGTGTGCATAAGTACCTATTTCAGTAATATATGTAAGTACATTTTTAACCATGAAAAACAGATTTGCATCTTACATTCTATTAGCTACACAAATAAGGACAAGTTTTTCTACCTCTATCAAAAAGAAAAAGTTTACCGGAAAGTCAGCGTGACTGAATTTTTTTAATTAGTCAGCTATTCATGGTCATGAGATATTTTCAATTTTTATAATTTTTTTTTTTTTAACTATTAAATTTGATTATTTATACAAGACGTATACAAGACGTATAGGCTGACATAACGTCTACGCTCAGAATCGTTTTTCGTATACAAATATATAATGGTTTATCATTGAATTCAAATATACAAGATATAACACATCCATTTCAACGACGTGCTCGAAAACTTCTGCATAAATTCTTAATAAAGTTATATTATATTATACTATACTATGATTTATTTCTTACCCAAAAACTATGACAAATATAGTGTTAACAGTGTTTCTCGAAGTTCTGGAACAAGCAACAAGGAGTAAGTCTATGGTACTAACTATAATTCATCAAAAAGTAGGCAATGAATACTGCACAATATAGTAGGATGAATTTAATCTGTTACGATGAGTTTCTAGTTGCTTTATTGAATCATGTAACTAAGTAGGGGGAAAATTAATGAAAAATATTATAAATTAAGTTAAGTTAAGTTAAGTAAAGTGAAGCGAGCATAATATATAATAGCCATTAAGTTAGACGTGAATAAATGATACATTTAACTCAGTAAGGCGTTTAATATTAATTTGAAATACATATTAACTTAACAATGTTAAAAAAAATGTAATTTACTTTTTTAATTATTACGTTGATCACAATTATAAAAAATGAATGTGTTCTTTCAATTTCCTTTAATCATGATAAACAATTATATTGAATATTGAATTTTTATAAAGAATAGATGTATATGATGATAAATAGACATCCTTCAACATTTGTTTGTTGTTATTAGGAAATAAGAGTGAAAAAAAGGTAAGTCATTTTATCAATAAATTAAACTAGTTAATTTCTGAAGTTTCTTAATAAAATTAACTCAATAATCAAGTTCCAAAATTTATGAAAATTAATTTTTGACTTTACTTAAAATTCTTACTTAGGTTATAGGTATATGTCAACTATATGGTTAAAGACCATCTTTTTTCCATATTGTATACGGACATAATATAAATCACCGAAGTCCGGTATCTCGGTTAAAATGCATATTATACAAACATGAAACAACATAAAGTTTACGTAATTTTATGTTTACAGTCTTACTTCCAAATTATGTATAATCAAACGAACGACAAAATGTATAAAGAAAAAACTAGTGACGGATGCATTTTTCGAAACCGGTACATGCGTTGAAACCAAGTAATATCAACGCCTGAGCAATATCATTAGATATTGTAAAAATCATTGGTTTTCGTATTTTTTTTTTTACAGTCGGTCTTTGGTGAAGGCGTTAGCAGTTATTCAGGGAAAAACCCGAAACAATTTTCGTAAACAAAATCGCTTCGGTGTTATTCAACTCTTAACGGCATAATATAGGTACTTATAGACTATAGTGCTATACTGCTATAGGTATGCATAAGGATAGCGCTTATGTTTTTGTTGATCCTTAATTCGTCACAGAGCAACTATAACTTTTTAATTTTTGTACTTATATATAGAAACATATTATACTAAATTTAAATTATCAGTATTAATAAATCGGATTGTATTTTAGATGATTGGATGACGTTTATAAAATAATCAAATCATAACCGTTTACTTAGAAATGTCAAATTGAATGCAATATCAACTAGCTATCATCTTAGATCTATGTCATGATCATCAAATAAATTATGGTGGTATATTTAAGAGGACGCCACACCCGCATGTGTTGTCTCCGTCTTACAAATGTACAACATAGCAAAAACTCTTTTGTGAAGGACAACTTTTCTCGCATCATATTTGTTGTAGAACTACCAAATTTTCATAGCATTTAAAGAAGAACTTTATCTGTGAAACAGCGTTCCCATATTTTAAATAACATATATACAATACAAGTTATTTGCTTCTAAACATTTGGTTTTTTCATTTGCTTATAAAAAATGATTGGATGGTGCTATTGAAAAAAAGAGCACGCTGTTGCACAGATAAAGTTCTTCTTTAAATGCTGTGAAAATTTGGTAGTTCTACAACAAATATGGTGCGAGAAAAGTTGTCCCTCGAAAAACAGTTTTTGCTATTTTGTACATTTGTAAGACGGAGACAACACATGCGGGTGTGGCTTCCTCTTAAATACAAAATACCTATGGTTAGAAGTTATATAATATCAAACTATGTGTAAATAATAAATAATCATTATCCCAAAAAAATGTAAATATCTATTTTATAATTTATAATTATTTTCTAGG